AATTTTTTTTTCAAAAATATATGTATTCTGTCATTGAATAATAAAAATTCTACGAAGGTTAAATAACAAATTTATCCTTAAACTATTTTAGATTTACAAAAAAAAGTCTATAATTTAAAATTTATATGAAGTTCGGGGGTTAAAATAAAATTTTACCCTTTCATTAAACATTTTTATAGTTTCAATTTTGTAAAAAAAATATATAAATTTTATGAATTTAAATTTTTTAAAGAAAATATATAAATATTTTTCAACTTGTTAAAAAAAATATATATAATAAGGACAATTTGGTCAAATATGCATTCTAATAATCTTTTATTTTTTTAACCAAACACAGTAATCTTACATTCCTGCTAAACCAACCAAACACAAAATACAACATTCCCAGTAATCCTATTCCCTGGTAATCTTTTATTCTCACTGATAATCTTACATTCCGTGAACCAAACGCACCCTAAGAGTGTTTAAACTTCTGTTTTAACCGAATTAACTGAATTAACCAAAAATATAAAATATTTAGTATATGTTATTTAGGGAACACCCCTACGTATTACCGTTTATTGAGAAATAAAATGGCAACAGGGACTTCCCAAATGGTTGGGCACCCCTTCAGCATATGATAGTTGAAGGTCTGTCAAGATCTGCATCAACAAACGCAAGAAGAGTAGCCGAAGACATTGCTGAGAGGTGGATGAGAACCAACTACGTTGCGTACAAGAAGACGGGAGCGATGCACGAGAAATATAATGTGGAAATATGTGGCGATTATGGTGGTGGCGGCGAATACATACCACAGACTGGTTTTGGTTGGTCAAATGGAGTTGTATTGGCATTCTTGGAGGAGTTCGGATGGCCTGAAAACAAATCCATCGACTGCAACTGACCTACTTAAAACCCGTGTTTCGGGCGAAACGAATAAGGTTTATGGTTTCATAACTACATAATAGAACTGCAATTCTTTTTGGCTTCCAAACATTTGTGATAGACATTGATACTAATACGAGCTCAACTGGAAAATTAAATTATGAGGATGATTTGGTATAGGCAGAGTAATATTCCATGCATGTTTCATGAAATTTATTTAGTTCTATAACTGATGTTGGTATATCTAGTAGTGAAATTGGTTATGAAGTTGTTGCAAAAAGAGCTACAGGCTTAATAGAAAAATAAGCGACTAAATTATACTCTTTTGCTTATTTAGATGTCTAAACTATTTTAGACTTTTAGGTTCTTCACAGTTGTTAAATTTTATCATTAAATGAAACATTTCGTCTTTATAAAATTTTAAAAAGATTATAAAAGAAAAACACTTAAATCATTATTTAAAAAAACTCATTTTTCTAAAATTATAAAAAATGTATAATGCAACAAAATGACCCTAACATTTGACAGTAGTATCAAGTTTACCCATATAGTTTTTTTTTTTGGAATAATTGGGTACCGAACGTTTATTTTTAGGTCAAAAATAATTCACGCTGGATGGAAACCGTCAGTCAACTGACGGTCAACAATGGATACTGACGTAGCGCGCACGCGTGGAAGAGCAAAGTGACGTGGACGTCCATGTCATCCAGATCGCTGACGTGGCACTTCCACATCATTTTTTAAAATTATGATTTATATTTTTATATTAAAAATTTGAACCAATCAGAGAGTGACACGTGTCACTCTCTTATTGGTGCAAAGTTAAAATTGTGAAATGTAAGAACAAATGGTATTTAACATTTTTCTTTTGTCCGAATTTCATTTAAAAAAATTGTTTTGTGAAATTCAAGAAGGAGGATTCAAACCTAGGTCTCTCGGGTGCATTGCTTCACATTTTGCCACCAAGCTAGGCTATTTGCTTGAGTAATTTATAAAACAAATTGTATTTAACATTCATTATTTATGTGGATTGCAGTTAATGTTATGTGTTTTAATGTTTATGTGAATTGCATTTAATATTTGACATAATCGTCAACACTTCACATTTTGGATATGACAAATATTGTTAAACATTTTGTTTGACTTACACACATAAACACAGTTGAACCTATTAATTCTTTAGCAAACACTAAAGTGTTATTATAAGTACTACTATCACAAAGATACATATGACACACAACATAGAGCAAATGAAAAGTGTCTTGTAAAATTCTTTTTCTTTCTTTAATGCTTTAGCTTTTCCTTTCATGCACTTAATTTTTCATTTTAATTCATTGGCATTGACTTCACTTTGCATACATTCATTCTCTTTCACTTCACTTTGGACACTTTCATTCTCTTCCAATGGCATACTGTTCATGTCACCAGTTAAAGTACCTCCACAACTTCTAATCTGTCTTCTAAGTCTTTTATTTTCATTTGCTAAATTTCGTTCATTGTCACGTAATTGTCGTAGTAATTGATTTGCTCTTTCAGGCATACTACCATCATACCATTCAAAATACCTACAACCATGATGCAATAAGAGAAATAAATAAATTTTCATTTTCAATTAATATACACATTTGTTATTGAAGCCAACTAACATAATAAAGTATCAAATTTTCTTACTGGAAAATTTAAGCAACCATATTACCTTCTTTCAGGGTTTAAATCACTCCATGAAGTTTCTTTAGGAGCTAATTTATTGCAAAAACATTTTTTTCGGTTCTCCATCGTACACAAAATCTCGTCGAGAACAACTAAAGATGCTTCGAGAATCAAACCTATCCATTAGAGAGTTTCTTATCCTTTATAAATCCAAATATAAGTTTCAAACAGAAAATGTCAACACTATTTCTAACTAGAAACCCAAATAAAAACAAAAAAAAATACTCCTAGTACCCTATCCCAAATGAATTCAACTCGAACTAAGATATACAATAATGTTCAAAGGTTATGAACAAGCCATTAAAAAATATGTAACCTATTCAAAACTCATTCGAAAATCAACCCCAAAGATTATAGAAAACTATTTTAAAAACCCATTCCAAAATAACGAAATAGTGCATTATTCCGTTCAACAAAATAAACTCACCTTCGAAAATTTGTTTCTAAAATGCAAACCCTAATAGAAAAATCAAACCCTAAACCCAATTCAAAATATATTACAACACAAACAATCGAATAAAGTTGTAGGATTTAAACCCTAAACCCATACATCTAACAAGGAATTCGAAAAAAAACCCACAAACCCATTTCAATAAAATAAAATAATCAAGTAGTTTTAAAAAAAAAAATACTCACCGTCCCTACCTCTCAACCACGTGATCGATTCGAGATGAAATGCTTCGTGTGCTTTTGATGGAGATAGAATCAAAGGAGAAACCCTAAATTAGGGATATAAACCCTAAAATTTAGGGAATAATCGGGGTAAAAAGGAGAGTAAGGCTGAGGAAAAAATCGGGGTAAAAGAGTTGAGGAAAAAATTGGCTTATGAATAGAAACACGTGTTTTGTTTTTGTTAAATGAAATTCGGACGATTGTGTGCATGTTAAATACCATTTGTTTCATAATTTACTCGAGCAAATAGCCTAGCCTGGTGGCAAAACGCGAAGCAATACACCGAGAGACCCAAGTTTGAATCTCTGTTATTGTATTTCACAATTTTAACTTTGCACCAATCACTCTGATTGGTTCCAATTTTTAATATAAAAAATATAAATAATAATTTTAAAAAATGATATGGAAGTGCCACGTCAGCGATCTGGATGGCATGGACGTCCATGTCACCTTGCTCCTCCACGCGTGCGCGTTACTTCAGCATCCGGCGTTGACTGTCAGTTGACTGACGGTTTCCATTCAGCGTTGGTTATTTTTGACCCAGAAATAAACGTTCGGTACCCAAATATTCCAAATAAACAATACAGGTAAATTTGACACTGCTATCAAACGTTAGGGTCATTTTGTTGCATTATGCCAAAAAAACCTAAATCTTTCAAACCATAATTTCAAATCATTCTGCACGAATAATTTCAACTCATTTTCACCGTTGGTCGTTACCGATGCGTTAACTAACTAAAATTCTAATGACGTATGACTGTTCAAACAACCAGCCTTTAATTGTAGCAAATATTGACAATAGTCGTGAAAATTGATGACTGCGAAATCTTGCATTTACACGGCCGTTGGGTGTTTGACCAGTTGCAAAATTAAGGAGTTTTGAAATTAAGGTGATCACATGTCATTGGGTGTTCGACTGATTGATGACGGTGAATGTCGACAGTGGCAAGGGATTGAAATTAGGGTTTTAAAATATTTTTTATATAGTTTCATACAATTTGGGTTTTTTCCTTGAAAATGAGTTAACTGTACCATATGTCTCTAAACTATAATCCTCATTTCAGTAACTCTCATTTTATATTGACACCTAAACTTTTAAATATTTTAATTTCAACTTTGATGTTTTGAATGATACAGGAGGATATTATTGGAATGTACAAAAGTTTGGGGACTAATTTAGAATAAGGTTCATAGTTTGAGGGTGAATTTGGAATGTCAAAAAGTTTGGGGACCGATTTAGAATAGGAGTCATAATTTAGGGATGAAATTTAAATATTCAAAAGTTTAAGGACCAATTTAGAATAAGATGGGAATGTATATTGCAATTAACTCTAAAGAAATTATAATTTTAAATTTTTAAATTTAAATAAAATTTAATTTTTTTATAAAGGTGACACATGTCATTTAACAATGAAATTTAAATGTGGTGACAATCAGACACCTGAATTGATCGGAAAATAATTTAGACAATTAACTAGAAAAAAAACTATATTTAAAAACTATAGTTAAGTCAAAACAATAACATATACAAATCAAAGAATCAGTAAATGGTATGATATAACAATATTAAAGGCCAGCCAATTGTTGGGACCTGACAGGATAGGTTAAGATTATAATGTACACTTCCAAATCTAAGATGGGACCAATCCTACATGCTGGGATTACCACATGAAGAGAGGTTAAGAAGATTATACACTACCCTTCCAAATCTAAGATGGTCCATCCCACATGCTGGGAGGACCACATGAACCTACTAAACTGTAGCAAGTAAGGAACAAATAGCCTTTTATAATCGAATAGGTAAACCATAATTGAGGTAAGTTCGAATGCGTCCATCCCAGCCTGCAGTAACAATAACAAGACCCCACTTGTGGGAACTCAACATGCTTTGATAGGCACTCTTCAATACCTTCAACTCGAACCTGCACACATCAGATGCAACCGTGCCCGCACTTGCATTGGGGAGTGTCTCTTCAGGCCATGTTGGAGACCCCTTCGTTAAAGAGTCCAACAAAACACGCGGCAAAGAGAAACAATCCGGTGAAGAATGAGGCATTGTTTGTTCCCGCTCCACCTTGGAACTTCTGTTTCTCCCCCCATCCCCACCGAGTTCTAGGGATGTAAACATTGCAGGAATGGTTTTGATTCCACGCCAAGGTATGGCAACCGATGCATTGTGCGACAAGAAACTCTCGCAAGACGAAATGCTTTTCGCCTTGGAGCAACTCTTCTCTTGATTTGCATAATTCCAAATGTAGATATTAGAATCCTCGCTAGCTGAAATGATCTGTTTACCATCTTGGCTAAATGTTGCCGATATCTGACTCATTGCAACTCGAAAGCCCGACGCTGAAATATGAAAAGAAGCTAAAATTACGAAAATGCAGAAATACTATCAAGATCATCATCAGGATGGAATCGTGAACAAATGTGTGAAATACTCACCCTTAACTTTGCATACAACATCTCTTCCGGACAAGACACGGACAAGTGAATCAGCTGATGTAATCAACACTTTGTTTGGATCAGTAGGAGAGAACTACAAAGCGAAACAGAAATCTGTAAGCCTTCACCTGGGATGAAAAAATGTAGTAAAGAAGAAACGTAAAGAATAAATTTAACAACCTCGAAGCCAGTTACCCTCTTTCCGGGTAACTTCTTTTTGCCTTGTAAATATATCGGTTCATCAAGTTGAAGTCGAGTACCTATACAAACATTAAACAAACCGTATAAGTAATACGTATGTTCCTTGCTAAACAGAATATCCAACCCATTCATATACAGCAGAACTTAACATACCTATTATATTATAGAAGCGGCAGTTGCCGGTCATTGAGCCAACAATTCCTCCCTACAGGAGATTTTTTAAAATATATTGGATATAAGGCGAGAACCCAAATTTTCCAACAAGTTAAAACCAAAAAGATTTGACAAACCTTTCCATCAGGTCGATAACACACAGCTGTGACTATATCACTTACATCAGTATAATCAATGACTCGACAGCGAAGCACTTCCCAAAAGCGAACTTTGCCATCAATTGAACCACTGATGAAATAATTATCATCCACAGGGTTGAAGGCAACAGAAGTCACTACAGTCATATGCATATTAACATCACGCAACTAGAAAGACGATAAATTAGCTAACAAAACACAACATGAAATCAACTACTTATATTTGCATAGCTTGGATCAGAATTAAGGCCTACCATAATTGTTATGATAAAAAACCCTTAAGCAACTATCACATCCCACTTGCCATAGACGAACAGTCTTGTCAACAGAGGACGACAGTAAAAGCTACAAGAAAGGACATATTATATCTTTTTTCGTAAATAGAGATCAAAAGTAATTCAAATACTTGCAGAAATAAAGTAACAATCTAACAAGTAAGATGAAATCCAGGAATTTTACCCCATTATTAGACCATGAAAGAGCCAAAATTTCAGCACTGTGCCCCTGAAATTCATGCACAGGCTTCTCCAAAACTCGGAAGACTTTGGGTGGGAAAATTACGCAAGTTGAGTCAGATGATCTCCTTAACCTCGTAATTTTATCTATACGTTCTTTATCCACATTGAGAGGAATCAGCTGGGAGAGATGATTCATTCTGTAGTAAAGACATGAAGGATCAAGATCTTGGATGTCGAATTTGTCTAAACTGTCATCCTCGACAATTTTCCATACACGCACAATACAATCTTCACCTGCAGTTGCTAGAAATTCCCCATCCAAACTGAACTTCATAGTCAAGATGGACCCTTCATGTGCTACAAATTCTTGCCCACAGTAAAGGGAAGACAACTCCTTGGAATGCTTGTTACTTGGATGAGGTCTTACTCCTTTCATCTTTTCCTCATATGCCCATTCATGATTTCCGGGCTTTGATGGAACAATCATGGCACCTAATTTCCTTAGCCAACTCTTTTTCACTATCCTTTTCATATCTATCAAAGGCCTTCCCTCGGCCTCCCCATCCAAGTGCGGATCAACCGACGGAGACGGCATAGTAGTTCGGTCATACAATTCAGAACTAACAGAATCACTATAATCTGTACTCTGTGAGCGACTGATAATTCCATTCTGACTTTGTTCAGCCATTGTCAATTCTATTAGACCATCCAAATTCTTGGCCGGATGTGCTAAATGGTCATCTTTCGAACAATTTTCAGCAGGTTCTTGGGCATCATTGAACAAAAAAGATGGTTTGTTGGATGAAACCCCCTCTTCAAGGCCTGAAGTCCTCAACACAGCCCCGCTATCTTCAGAGATTCTAGAAATTCCCAATTCAAGTTCAGCCCTGCTGGAACCGTCGTGATTCTCTCCTGTATTCGAATTTCCATTGAAACTTAGACTCATCCATTTTCCGAAGTTATGCCGACGCTTATCAATGCTTTCTGGGAACATAGACCAGAACTTGTACTGATCAAAAGTATCTACAAAATCATCAACTAAACCTATATCAGGACTAGAACCACATTTCTCAGATGCAGAAGAAATCTCTTCCCTGATATCAAAGAATTGATCTTCTTCTTCCAGATAACTTCCCATGATTTCCCCTTTTTTACACTCAATCCATGTAACCCTGAAACATTATGCCACTACTAAGTTTTCCTGCCGTCAATCTATAATTTATTTATCTTTTCATATTTTCCCTTTTTATGATTTCAAGAAAAAACAACTAAAAACATCAAAACTCCAAAAAAAGTTCAATAGGAAACATAGAAGGGCAGATATTCACAGGAAATTCACTAACACCCAAAACAATGGGGCTTCTAAAGGATAAAAAAATTCATAAAACAAAATAAAAATAAACCCAGAAAAAGAAGAAGATTTACTCACCTGAGGAATCATGAAAAATTAGTCAAAACCCAGAATTCCAAAGATATTCAAAGCTCAAGAACACCCTTTTCCGAGAAGTTCTTACAGAAGGAAACAAAAGAATAGATTAAGTAAAAAGATGTTAAATGCAAAAATAATTGTTGGAAATGGCGTAAAATGGAACAAGAAGAAGATCCGAATTCGTAAAGTTTGATAGGTAGTTTGTTTATTTGTTTCTGCTTTAGCTCTTTGATTTTGTAAGTTAATTGCTTTGGTTTGTCCGTTGGGTTTTGCTTTGATGGTTTCTTTTCTCTTATTAATGCTATGTCTCCTGTTGGTTGGATTCCTTTATGGAACTTCTAATCGGTTTTCCGCTTGACAGAGCGGTTAATATTATTTGGTTCGCCACGATTTGAAAAATCATATTTCTTTGAATAATTTTTATAATATAAAATAAATCATTATGATTTTAGGGGTAAATTTGATATAATAATCCTCGTACTAAAATTATTTTAGAATATATGGACATATTATTTAAGAATCTATAATATTTATTACAGTAAATTGAAAATTTGTTATGTAAATATGATGAATTTTATATGTTTAAATTCGTCATACACATATGATGAGATTTTATAAAAAAATATATTTTGTTTTTTGGAATTTGTTAATCTATTAGTAAATGTTATGGATTCCTAAATAATTTCTCACCATTCATGTTTTCCTATTTTTTTATCTCACTATAATATTTTCCTAATTTTGCCAATTTTAGGTCATCTACTATACTGAAATTGTAGATTTAGTTTTTTGTTTTCAATTTACTTTTTAATTTGTTGCTCTAATTTAATAATGTTATTAATTATAATTTCATTAGTTGTTATATAATTCTCCTCGGAGGTTTCGAGTTTGAGCATCGATAGGGGTATAAATGTTTATTGTTAATTGGTTGAAAGTCTTTGAACATATAATACCTTATATTCACCTTAGATTTATCAAATACAAATCTTAAATATCATGTTAATATGTAAATGTATCATTGTTTGAATAATTAATTGAATTTATACAACATGTTAATTGTATGACTAAAAATAATAGAAAAATACACATTACCATTGTAATAAGAATAAGGGTAAACTATATAAATGGTCACTGAACTTTTAGGGTGCTTACATTTTAGTCATCCAAATTTTAAAACTTGCAATACAATACCAAACTTTTAGTCCGTTTTCAATAAGATCTCTGACTTTACCTCCCGTTAGTTTTATCTAATGTGACATGTTACTATTATTTTTTAGCTTAATAAAATAATCCTTTTAACTTTCAGCTTAATAAAAAAATTCCTCACCCAAAATTGACTAAAACCCCTAAAAATCAAATTTCCCTTTCTCTTATTCTCTTTGTTTGATCAAAAATCGAAGCTAGAAATGGAAACACCAACTGTAAATTATGGAATATCAGCAACCTTACGTACAGTTTGAATGAATAATAATGTTGGAATGAGGTTCTTTGGGTTCATTAACCATGGGCGTGTATTTAGAAGAAATTGTAATTTTTTATTTGGTATGATCCCCCATTGAATCCACATTCACGTATTGTTATTGTTGGTTTGCTAAGGAAGATGAGAGTCATGGAGAGGGGAAGAAGGTTTGGACGAGCGATTTGGGTGGTTTGTTTGGAGATTTTGTTTTACCTAGTTATATTAGGTTAAAAAAAAGGATAATTTAGGATTTAGGGATTTTTTTGGTTATATTTGTTGCTTCAAGTTCATTTTGGTAAGCTGAAATTCGAATATGAATTTAGAATTTGAGGTTCATAATGTAAACTAAAGTGTATGTCAGATCAACTAAAATTATGAATATGAACATGAATTATCAATTTGCTATTGTGCATCTTTCAATGTTTGCTTATGTTTGTGAGTCATTTGATTTAAATTTTGGTAAGTGAAAGAGTTTTAAACTCTTTTAACTTCTCCCAAATTTTATACGGCGGTCGTTTGAGATTTGTTTTTAATTTTTATTAAGCTAAAAAATAACAGTAACGTGCCATGTCAAATAAAACTAACGAGAGGTAACATCAGAGACCTTACTGAAAACGAACTAAAAATTCGACGATTGTCTTTCAAGTTTTAAAATTGGGTGATCAAAATGCAAATGTCCTAAAAGTTTGGTGACCATTTATGTAGTTTACCCTAAAAATAATTACTAACAATGTAAAAAAATATTTTAGTTTTATATATCTTAACATTAAAAACATAAATATCATTCAAATGTATATTTTTTAACTTATAATACCATGTTCAAAATGATCATTTATTATTGTCAAAAAAATATTTTTCAATGATACTTTTCAAAAGTAGTACAACCAAACACTATAATTATTAAAAAAAAATTAATGACACTTAAATTTAACCAAATATGTAGCTTACCCCAAAAATAAAGCAAGCGTCCTAAATGTTCTGAATTTTAATATACCAATAACAATATAAGAGTAGAAGATGAATTTGTTTCAAATCAATATAGATAAATTAAATTATAAAATTCCATATAATAAGATGAATAAAGTCATAACTAAACATAAATAATTTATTTTAGTTTTATGCATATTTTATCCTTAAAGTGGACTATTTGTATCTTAATATTTTATTGTCTTAACCTCTGTTAGAGGTTTTGCCTTTGGACTCATTGAAAGTTTTTTTAACAAAACACGATCAATAAAAAAATATATCAAGTAATATTTTTATGCTAAATATATATTAAAAACTTAAAAATATTAAAAATATTTCTAAACTAAAAATATATAAATTTTAAAAATACAAAATTATCTACATTTTTTAAAATACTTTTAAAAATGTTAAACATATTATATATTCCAAAAACTATAAAATTTCTTATTTAAAATTTTTGAGAAAAATATAAATTTTCAAAAAAAATATATACTTTTTTTTATTTATAAATTTGGGTAAATGCAAAAAAAAATATGTTCAAATACTCTCAATCATTTAACAATGAACTATCATACCACTAACATTTGCGGCGCTCAAACCCAATACTTTAAGGGATAATAACAAGTCCATTAACCACTAAGTTCGCTCGGTTTGTGTTATAAGTTAAAAACATGGTTGATACATGAACTATGTTAGCACCATTTTTTACCTGAATGAAACGAAAAATTAGTTACATTATGTAAAAATGTGATGAGAGTAGCCACCAATCAATTTAGTTGTGATTGGGTCACCGAAAAGTTTGAGTCTACGAAAGTCAAAATTGAGTTTAAGGACACGATTACGTGTAAGAAAGACAAAGCCCATAAAAATGACACTTGATCACAAATATTTTTGTTTCAACTATGAATGTAATTAATGTATTTTTTTATATTGATACAAAATTTTTAAATTTTCAAGGATTATCTCGAATTCTCTAACGACTAGGAGAATTAAACATGAATATTCTAAAAATTCACATATTAATCTATATTAAATTTTCGAAAATGTAGTATTTCATGAGTAATTTCGAACATTCTCCAACGTTTAGGAGAATATCGAGAACCTTGCCTCATTCAAGAAAACACCTCGATTTTTATGAATTACACTAAAAAATAAAAATCTACTACTCTTAAAAATACTCACAGATTCTTTAACATTTAAGAAAATTTAGAAATATTTCTCAAAGTCCAAAGAGTTCATGATTATAATAAATAACTTTTTTAAAAAATTAAAGATTAAATCTTTCATTAAATAACCTCGAAAACCTCCAACGTCTAGAAGAATACTGAAGGTTCACTTAAGTCAAGATAATACCTAGTTTTAAAACAATACAATAAACGTTAAAACATGTGTGGTACCTTTATGATCTAAATATGAAATTAATATAAATTAACCGTTGATAATAGAATATATTTTATCATTTTTTAGTATTTATATATAAGAGTTGCCATAATATTATTATTTTCATTATTGTGTTTTAAAATCACTTACATTTTTATAGGAATTACGAATAATTTCAGATGAATTCTTCTTATCTTAGATGTTTGGACAAATTGAACTCTCTCAATCTTATTTTTCGTCACATAAAATATAAGCAGTTATTTTCTATTCTAAAAAAATTAAATATTTTTGAGAAAAATCCAGTTGCCCAACGTTTACAAGAAGAAAAATTCGAAATATTTTAGCTTGCCTAACATCTAGAACAAACTGATTTTTTTCTAAAAAATATTTAATTTTTTTATAATAGAAAATAACTATTGATACTTTATGTGATGAAAATAAGTGTAGACATCCATTTTCGTTCGAGATTTATTTAGTATATATATTAATATAGTATAACTTTTGAAAATATTTTTTAAAAAAATATAATATATAGTTTTTAGAAAATGCTTTTTGAAAACATATAATATATATATATATATATATATTAAAAATTGATTTTTGAAAATATATATATAGTTTTGAAAACAATTTTTGAAAAATGTATTATATAGTTTTGAAAACAATTTTTGAAAAATATATTTTATAGTTTTGAAAACATTTTTGAATATATATATATATTATATAGTTGTCGGAACCGTCTTTCGAGTGGGGCCGGAATTGACTTCGACTTGAATGAAATAATTTGAGTCGCCACCGATCATTTTAAAAATAAGATTTGGGTTGATCGGACACCATCTTACCTAATCTGCGTCTTACAAAATATGTGTTGGATTCGGGAGTCGGTTACAATCAAGGAAGGATTAGTACCGTTGAATTACCCTTTCGGTACTAATTTATTTCCAGTTGTCTTAATTAAGAAAATTGAAAGTTAAATTAAAAAGGTAAAAATTGATCCAAATTACTTACTTTTGATAGATTAAAAAATGTACTCTTAGAAGTCAAAAAAATGTGTTAGATAAAAAAATGTAATGAAAATAAAGAAAATAAAAAAAAAAACAAATGAATTAAAGAAAATGAGA